CTATCCTCTCGGTGCTATGATGATTATCTTCCATACAAATCAAAGAATTTAAAAATGCAGATGTTCTCTTCCTCATTCTGTTTTTGTTTTGGTGATTCTAGGTATGTGAATATCCAGATGGAACCAAGTCTTTGAAGCTAGGAGACTTTGGACTGGCAACTGTGGTTGAAGGACCTTTATACACTGTCTGTGGTACACCCACGTATGTGGCTCCAGAAATCATTGCAGAGACAGGGTGAGGATGGCTGACTATGGCATAGGTCTTGTAACCAGTTATTTTTGGCAGGTAGCTCCTAAGCTTGTTGTAAGAACAGGAATGCTCCAATAGGATGGTCCTCCATCTTTTTGTAACTAAACCACTTATGAGAGAACAGGCATCATTCAGTGTCTTGACTCACCTTCCTCTCAGAATGTATCTTTGCCGCCTTACCATCTCCCTAGGACCAGCGCTGGTGCAGTGGGGTTTATTGGTTTGTGTTCCTTGCCTCACTGCACCATTCAGAGCCCATTATACCAGCCGTGGCAACTCCTTGGGGGAAAAATAGACAAGCAAAACACAGTGTTCATGTTAGAAATAGGATAATTTATATTGGAAGAGACTCCAGAGGTCACCTAGCCTAAACCTGTTCTCAGAGCAGGTCTAATTAAATTATGTTGATTCAAGTGACCTTGTTTGGGTGACACATGCTATTTGAGAACTGTTGGTTTAATTATACAACCCTGGTTTTTTGTATTTAACAGGTGGTTGCATAAATACAAAATAATTTTGTAAAATGGTAGAATTTCACGTTGTCTTTCCTTTTAGACCTGTTAGACCTCCATTCCATGCTAGCTGATGCTTGCCATAGCTGTGACCATTCTGAATTTGGTATTCCTACTGGAGGGAGGTTTGTTGTGTTGTTCCAAGCATTGTTCACTGCATTTGTCATATTGAGAAACAGATCACAGCTGCAGTGAGCTCAAACATCAAAGGGCACTTCATCTGCATGTTTCAGATTTTTGACAAACTGAATCTACTGGATGGAAAAGAATAGGAAAAAAGACCTCTTTTTGACCTCTAGTGTTGTAATGTGCAGTTCTTTTTTCCCTGTATTACTCACTCAAGAGACTGGAGAATTGGTATCTTTCTTGTTGCTTAGCAACACATGATAACCTTAGAGATAGTGACTCCAATATGGGGACTGAGAAAGCACATCCTTGTCTTTTATCATTAATGATTCTGGATTGGGAAACCTTGATACTGGATTGAATCTGAGTATATTCAGAAAACCCTGGAGAGCCTTGAGGCTTACAGGGAAAAAAAAAATTCAATGAAAAATGATGTTATCATGGTTTCCTAAAGACTGTGAAGAATGATAAGTAAAACGAAGCTTAGGTACAAAATACACTTCCACATCATCAGCAAGTAACTTAGAACAGATTCTCAATATATATTCACATAAATGTAATTGATTGTTTGATTGGAATTACTTTTTTTTTAATCCAGCACAAGTAACACAGTCTTGTTTTCTCAGGTATGGCTTAAAGGTGGATATTTGGGCTGCAGGTGTGATCACGTACATACTGTTGTGTGGATTTCCACCTTTTCGCAGGTGAGTGTCCCTGTGTGTCAGAGGGAAAAATAGTAAAGAACCAAGTTCTTTCTCAGCAAATCTTACCTATCTCCCTGAAGAAGACATCCTGAGGAAAAAAAGATGGATTATTGACACATTTTCTTTACCTTCCTGATCTTTTTCAAAATTGTTTTCACTTGTCCCTCTTGTCAAGTTTTGGGATCAATTTTATTTACTTATTTTTCTAAAAGGGAGCAACCGGTTTACTGCTGTGTGCCGGGATATGGTGGTATGAGAGCATAGTTTCTTTTCCTTTTGTCTGCTACGTGCGTCCCAGTTCCGTGACCGTGTATGCTTTGCCCTCTACTGTTTCTGTTTGGCCACAGCAGCTTACTGGTTTGTAGCGTTGAGGGTGAAGGTTAGTGGTAAACCGAGGTGAGGGGAAGAATTTGATTATGTTGCATTTTTAACCTTGTTAATCTTTTTGATGTCATACGAGCAACAGAGTTTGCAAATATGATTCTTGCTACTCAATGTCACAATATCTATGAGTTCTTCTAAGAATCAAATGTGTATGCTTCGTGCATCATCATTTTTTTTCCCAGGAAATGAGAAGGAATTGGCACATTTTAATAGGGAATTCTCCTCTGAACTTGTAAGTTATTTGCGCGCAGTCTGTTTGTTCATTTTTACAGCAAAATACTTAAGTTTTAAACTCAAAATCAGCAGACTGAATATTTTGCAAAGGATACAATATAAACAATTGTCAATGGAAAAATAATCATTTAGTTTAGGTATTTGTTTTTTGCATGTGGTTAGTTCATGTTTAAAACTGGAAACATATTTTGAAAGATATATTGTAAAAACAAATGGCAACTGCTTTGAATAGAGTTTGGAGGTTGGGCATGGAGAATGTCTATACCATGCTATTAGAATCAGGTCTTAACCAAGGTTAATAAATATTTATTGCAAAACCAACCCAAGAGGTAAATTGTTCATTACAGAAATAGGTTGGGTGGATGTTCACAGTGGCTAGGCCCAACAGACAGAGGTTAAAAACCAAAAACCCCACTGGCATTGACCCCTGAATTTTCATTGTACCATGTATTTGGTACAAAAGCACTTATACTTTCAGTATCAGTAGCCTGCCAATACTCAGTAAACTAAACCTATTGTGTTTTCTGTAGCTCCTCTTTGGATTTTCAAAATTCTCCTGTTGTGATAATGTAACAGAAGAGGCTCATTTCACTACACTTCTTCCCCCCTATCATATGCTTTCTGTAGCAGGTCCTTTAGAACTAGGCTGGCAAGTGACACTTTTTAATCACCTTTCCTGTTCTTGTATGTTAGCTATGCAGTCTCTATTACAGTGGAAGTCCTTTCGCCTCAATACATATTTTTCACCTCAATCTATTAGTTTTTCTGTTCTCATCACTCCTGACAGTGTAACTATGGCAAACACCTCAGAAGTGCTGCCACTATATAAGGTTGCAAATTATGTGTTTGTATAAGTTGATAAAACAGGATTTCCATTCCTTCCCCAAATTAAGTTAAAAATTTGTTTAACAAATTGACTTCTTTCTCATGATCTTTTTCATTACTGCTGTTCTACAGTGAAAACAACCTTCAGGAAGACCTCTTTGATCAGATACTTGTTGGGAAGCTGGAATTTCCTTCTCCCTACTGGGATAACATCACTGATTCAGCAAAGGTACTGATATGTTTTCCAACCTGAAATAGTGTTTCTGACAAGCTACTGAAAAGACTGTGCTCTGTTGAAAAGGCAGAATAGAAGATTCAGAACAGGTTTTTACTCACTCTTCCATACGCTGTGCCTTTTTAGTTAGCTTAACAGTGCTTGATGAAAGCTCAGGTTTTGCAGCCCATCATGTTATTGCCTGAGTAAGTGTAGCAGAACGCCAGTTGCATTCAGTGAACATCACATGCTATTCAGTTTACTTAATGATGGACTATTATAGCAGGTTCAGTACCTCAGCTGTAAAATAAGTGTGTGTCTGAGTGTTTCCCTCCTATCATGCTTTTTAAAAAGAAAAAATGATTGCTATGTGGACTGAATGCAATTGACATCATTTGTTCCTATTTTACATGAGCCAGTTTTTAGAACTTCAAGAGGTGCAGCTAGCTTGATTTGCCATTGGTAATAGTTCTTGTGTTATCGTTGCCATTTGCGTTTAAAATGCTCGTGTCTGTAGGCTAAAGGTTCCAACTCTTAAGCCTCACTTCTGAAGCTGATTCAGTAATGTGCTCTGAATGATATCTGTGGACTCTAATTAGTGATTATTTGTTATCCAGCCAATGAGAAGTTGCATTATTTCTGCATTTCTCAGTGGCTGTTTATCCATTTGCCAACATTTCCCAAGCTCCAGTCATCTCACGCTCTTTCAGACATGCATTCTGAACAAACAAGGCCCTCAGTCTTGGTACTAAAGGTGACCTTTTGTGTCGGACTTAAATAGATGAAATAACTTGACTGGTTGGGAAACCTCTCAGTTAGGTATGATACTGTCTGCTTGAAGAAGTCATTTCCCAAAACCAAAGTGATAAACAATGTCATTAAAATACTTTTGATAAGAATATGAAGACTGACAATTTGGAGGCTATAAAAGGTTTGTTGAGGGGGGGGATTTGCTCCAAGTATATGAAGTTGTTGATTTGGGAGTGGGACATATTTGTCTTAATAGGCTTGTAGAACCAGGAATTACACCAGTAAACTGTTATTTGCTAGTTGCACAAGAAGAAACTTGAATGAATGAACAACTGAAGAAGGTTGGTTTGGGGTTTTGTTTTGTTGGGGTTTTTTTTTAAATTTTGTTTTACTGACTGATTTGTATCAATGACCTCTTAAGGTTTATCATATCTGTAGGCACCAATAATGGAAGGCCCATGGAATTATTTAGTAAAGCTAAACACATCTACTCTAGTCCCTCTAAAACATGATGAAAGCCATAATACCAAATCTTTGGGGATTAACCATATAATTAGTAAAATTAAGCATTTTTCTCCTTATCTATCTGATTTTTCCTATACCAGGTGATCCTTAGCTGATGAAACAAGTTAAATGTCTTTTATTCTTCTGGAGCAACACAGAAGAGAACAAAGTTTTCAAATCATTTCAGCAGTTTCTTGAATTTCAGATGCAGTTTGTTGCCTCTGATTTGTGCTCTTTATGTACTGTTACTATGTGCATGTACATTGCCCATAGAGGATCTCATTTGTCCCAGGTTTGTTTTCGTTTTGGTCACCTGCATGAATATATAGAGAACAAACTGGAACATGATATATTTTAATGTTCCCTTTTCATCTGGTTTCAAAAGACATGAAACATGAATCCAGTAAGGAAGCTGATATGAAATATGCTGTCCAGCATACTCTTAAACCAGAAGGGCAAATTTTTTGTTCCACTAAAGTCACACTGGTACCACTGGTTTTGGTATCAGTGTAAGCTGTTTTGTTTTGTTTTGTTTTGTTTTTCACCCAGGCAGCAAGAAAATTGCACTGATAAGAACTTGTTGCAACAATATTTTCCATTATAATGTCCTCATGTCCTTCCCCACTCTTCTCAAACTTTTTTTTTTTTTTTTTTTTTTTAAATAAAGGAGTTAATTAGCCTGATGTTACATGTGAATGCTGAAGCCCGATATACAGCAGCACAGATCCTAAGCCATCCCTGGGTGTCAGTGAGTAAATTACATTTTACTTGTCTTTAAGTTGATATTAAATCTGTAAATCTAACCATTAAAGTGTAGTTTTCAGAAGCAGCAATACACTTCTACTATGCACATTTCAGTTTATTGAACCACTAGTACCATTTCCAAGTGAAAGCAAACAGCAAGAGTCTGAAGTTAGCTTCAGCTCTAACAAACAGCCCTGTTAGAGGGAGCTAACTAGTAGTTAGAAGCTACTTCTGTGCTCTGAAAGAATATAGCGACGGTATCACTGAGTGTGATTAGAAGGTGCTGGGGGTTGCTATAACCCCGCTTAAACATAACACAACAGGCAGATGAAATATCTAATTTAAATGAAATACCTAATTTTACATAGGCACTAAGCTGACGGCTGCTGAGTCCTCCTCCTTTTTGGGCAGCAGCAATGGAAAACACTGAAGTGGATTGCTTATTGATTTAAAATCAGTTCGTTATAAATAAATACTAGGTTTACATGCACATAGTCAATGTTTATTTCCACACACATTTTAAAAGAGGGACTGAATATTATCTATGGAGTTCCCTTAAACAAGAGAAGACAACTATAATAAATCTGTCTATGCATAACAGCTCCTCTCAAACCTATTTATGGCACTGTATAATGTTTCCACACATAGGACATAATGGATCATTTAAAATGCTGATTTAAAAGAAAGCCAGATGACAAATATGCTTTTTATTTTTAACGTTGTTTCAAGCATGTTATTTTTAACATGCTTGAATCAAATTTGCAGCTTATAATTGTGGGACAAATCAATGGACTGAAAGTATATGGCGTCACGTGGCATTTTAAGAAACAGAAGTTCATACGTAAAACAGTGGTTGCTATGTTCCTTTCCTCTGTAATTTGTCTTAACCCATTTGAATTATACCTCGTCTAGCAGAGTGCATTCACTTTTGGGCTGACTGAACACTTACTTCGCATTAAAAAGCAGGAAGTACCTGAGGATAATAGAAAACTTCTCTTTCACTCAGATACATTCAAACATACTTTTTTCTCTAACTTGAATATTGTGTTTATTCTTATACAGGATGATGCTTCCCAGGAGAATAATATGCAAGCTGAAGTAACAGGTAAACTGAAGCAGCACTTTAATAACACCCTACCCAAGCAAAATAACACATCTGCTGGGGTTTCTGTCATCATGGTAAGAGAAATGGACATTTTTATCCTTGATATTTCACTTTGCATATTTTCCTAACAGTGCTCTATGAGCATGTGTGTTGCAAGAATAGCAAAAGCAAAGCTAGAATAGTCTCTAATTCTAGTCTTTATTTATGTATACTGTGGATTGTCTCATCATCGCTCGAGAGCAACCGAGTCTATCACAGTGTGCTAGCTAAGCTGTAAAAACAAGCTTTCAAACAGAAACGTGTAAACGTTAAGTATGTTGAAAAGAAGCTTATTAACAATTTGAAATCTTTTATTATAAAAACTGTAGTTTTATATCATACTGACCACCTAGTTATTTAAGTAGGCTTTTCCCCTTTTCCTGACCAAGTATTGCTTGATCTTGAGCATACTATTGTTCAACACCTTGCTTGCCAGGAAACCAGACTCCATTTCAGAAACACAGTGTTGAATGTTTACCACATTAATTTTTTCCCAGCCTAACCCCTGCTGTATTTTTTCTGTTCCCTAATTGGGAACTTTCTTCAAAGCATACAAAGGAACCCTGATGACCTATAGTTGAACTTGCATAAACAGTAATTCCAGAAGGCAGCTGTCTGAATCATTGTAGAAGAAATGGATTTTACTGTTATCAGTACTCAGAACTGCACTTGTAATTGACCAGTCACTTCTGCAGAGAATATGCAACTGCTATAGAGATTGGACTGCCATTCTGTTCTTATTGCTGTCCCCCCTTGTATAACGCAAGGATGGACACAGTGCAGAAAGAGCGTCTTCAGTTACTAAAAGAAAAATAAAACCATCTCTGATTGTAACATAACAGTGATTTCCACACGCCCCCCCATTACTATTAATTACTGTCAAAGTCCAGCCCATTTATGTTAACAAAGAATTGTTTTAATCATCTGAAAGTAGGTAAATTTAAATAATATTTCTGCATAAATACATGCTTTTGCAGATACATGTACGTGAATTAAATAGGCCAAAGATTTAAATGTAGAAAAAGTGGTAACATAAAAATGAGAGAAGTCAGAAAATGGCTTTCAGGTTCATGCCGTTGTCTACATTTCATTTGACAGTTTGACTTGACAGTTTGAGAGGGACTTCAGAGCTTCATTCTTTATACTGTTGAGACTATGGATAAGCCTGAAGCTGAAAACTGGTACAAAATGCACTATATGTAATAAGAGCAATTTTAATTCTAACTCTCAGCCCCTCTCCAACTTGCATGCCACTTAAGCCTGTCTCAGATCTCTGACACAGCGTAGCTTCTGGCTGCTTATTGGTGTGGGTTTTTTCTGATTCTGTTAGCTACTGACATTCCTTCAGCCAGGAGCGTACACCTCATTAAAACTTTTCATTTTCCCTTTTCCTGCCTTATTTCCTTCTAACAGGTATGGAAGGATGTAAATGCATAATTATTTATTTCTGAATGCACCTCCCAGTTATTCCTGAAGTGAAAAGTAACTTCTGGTTCAAAGCACTGTAATCTAATGAGGGTTATACCCCCAATTTGTTATTCTTGCCTTGGCTTATCTAGAGCATTGGAATTTAGTTATCTTCATGTTAAGTTCTTCACTTGTACTAGCACCCATTGCTTAAAAACATCCAGATTCAGACAAGCGCAGTATTTTAATTCTCATATGTTGCAATGCATTGCTATATCAGTCCACCTGCATATTTAATGGAATTCCTTTTAGTATCACTTCATTCAAATATTGTCATCTGGCCAATGCAGATAATACCATCATGTGGCAGATAAGTAAAACTGCACATACTGACTTCAGTGTTCTTGCACAGGAGACTTTCTGCCCCTAAAAGCATGTTGCTGTTAATTCATTAGTGATTTTTTTTTTTTTTGTCAATTTCAAAATGTTCAGGAAATCTAAATTTGTTGCAATTGTGTTAGTTCTGCTTAAAGTAAGTCTAGTTTCTGTCCCTTGCTTCCTTCCTTTTTCCTCCTTTCCCAATGCCTGCATTGCTTCCCTCTGACTAGGTCCAAGGCAATGGTATGTACTAACTGCGATGCTTTGTTCTGCTGCACAAAAAATACACGTTCTCCATTTTTAACCAGAAGAAAGGAGAAATAGCCAGTCTGAAGTGGAAAGATCTTTACAGCCACACAAAACCAGTAAAGGAAAATCTTTTAAACACTTACAAAATACAGAAAACTGTTTAAGTGATGCATATTTGAAATTTTCTAAGCAATCACTAGTATAACTAGCTATTTTTTACTTCCTCAGACATATCTTCATCTATTCCCCTGGGAGTAATTTTGTCCATGGGTGTATCTTACAATATGGAAAAGCAATTAGGAAAAGATGGGAATCCCATGAAGATAGAACTGAAAAACCAAAACCACTGAAATATTTAAATAAAATAAAAATTTTAATTGCCACTTCAGCCTTTATGGTATGACAGAGCTAATCAGAAGGTAATCTATCCTAAATCAATAAAAAACATTCTTACTCAGCAACAGTAAAGTTAAGGCTCCTCCTCAGTCTTTAAAGAAAAAATAATCCTAAATTGCATTACATAGGTATGTATTGCTACGTGCAAGGTGTGACAACTATCAGAGACTGCTGTGAGGGCAGTACAGGAGAAGATCACCATCAGCATTTCCTTTCCATTTTAAATAACTTGTCCTGCCACTGAAATAGCAGAAACCTGTTTATTCACAACTCTTTTTCCAGCAAACAAAAGAGGAAATGCAGTCCTGCCAGCATAGCAGCTACTTTGATAACGATAAAACTACTGCACGTCATAGCTAACCTCAAAAGTCTAGATACAATTCACCTAGTCATTTCCTTGCATGCTCCATTTGCAAAGGCAATTGTTAGTAGCAGAGGATTCCATTGTATACCATTGAAACACCCTAAATTCAAAATACTTAACCTTTTCTTTTTGGGAACTTTTATACTCTGTGCTTCGGTCTGAAAAAGCCTGGCAGGAAGGCCTTGGCGGAGAGGGGTATCATGGGGCTGCTTGGTACCTGCCCTGCCCCAGCACAGAGCCACATCATTATACAAAACAAAATACTTTCAGCAGAAGCGTCTGAGTGAGACTAATTCCAGAACAACCCACCATCCCTATACCTGCAAATTCTGGAAGCCCTTTATTTGAGAAATCAGAGATGCTAGTCCAGCTGTCTTTGCCAAGTCAGGTAAAAGAGAAATTTGAATTCAGGTAAGTTTTCACTACTAAGCTATGTGATCACTTTGGAAAAAAGATAAGTACCTTATTTCTGCTCTCCTTGATGACTTTGATGCAATGATCCATATCTGAAAAAAAATACATGCTAAATTTAACTTCTATCAGAAAATTATTTCAGTATCTAAACCTACATATTTCAGTGAATAGTGTATTAGACAAACTCTGCTAAGAATACATTGTAATTTTCATATTAGGAAAGCAAGTCCTCCTGAGCAATCCACCAAAAAAAGAAATTGCTAAGGAAAAGGCAGAGCACCTGACCTTACTTTACAATTAGCACATCCCAGCTCAAAATATGAAAGTCCACGTAACTGTGTTGTATAACGTTTACATGCACATATGCAGGGGGTGCCACAAAGGTGAAATGTATTTGTGCTCTGCTCCTCAGTTCAGTTGTCACACACTTGTGGATCACTGTAGAAAGCCCAAGCTGTACGTGACCAGAGTAAGTGTACCTTGCACCATTCTACGAAACTGAATAAACTACAAAGAACTGTATTAACTTAACTCTGTATTACCACTGGTACACGAAGATCCTCCACAAAGTAAATAGTTAAGCCAAGAAGTATATGGAGTTACAATGATCAGTATCAGCCTCCAAACTGTGAAACAAGACCAATTATGCCATCCCTCCAAGTCTTGGAAAGCAATTTTGACATCTATTTTTGACACAGGAAACTACTAGATTTCCCTCTAGGTCACTTTAGACATTCCACTAGCAATTAAACATTAAACCATGGTTTAATATAACTTTCAGAGGGTCTGAAAGTTGTCGGCTTCAGCAGACACACCACATACCAGATAATCCTCCTACTGCACTGTAGAGTTCTCAGTTTTCATTCTAACCTGCTACTCTCCTCTCCAGTAAACTAATTTTTAATTATACTATTCAGAAGCGATGCATTTTTGCCACCATGTCTGCTTCATGAGCAGTCATCTGCCCTTTTCTTTAAGACAGAGAAAAATGATTAGGTTTTCATCTGTCATCTTCACAAAGATACAGTTCTGTACCATGTGGTTTGTTACAGAAAATGTATTATTAAGATTTCACTAAGCATCATTGATTCCTTCTGTCTGCAAAAACACAGGTACATAGATTTTGCTAAAACAGCTAGTAAGAAGAGTTCCTGCCATATCATAATCACTCATGATGTCATTTTTTTTCCACATCAGACTTGCAAGACAAAACTTTAAATTCGATCCATCATGGCAAACTTATGTCTGGAAGATAAGTTTTCCTTATGTTCTTCAAAGTCACCACCACAAAATGCTACAATTAATTAGATATAAGATATCCAATGTTATTTCTCCTTTTTTCTGTCTCTTAATGCATGCACTTAATGTCTTGTAGATTGTTTTAATCCTTAAGTTAAGACTGGGCTTTGATTTAAATGCTCTCTTCATATTTTGCCTTGGATTTTTTTTGTTTGTTTTTAGAACACAGCTCTAGATAAAGAGAGTCAGATTTTCTGCAGCAAGCGCTGTCAGGACTCTGGTAGAGCTGGAATGGAGAAAATTTCTGCAATTACTGCTGCAGTTGATGATCCTCATGTGGCTGGGTCCAAGACCCTCTTCCCTGCTGCTTCTGAGCCACTCAGATCCCCCACGCTCCCTGCCTCAGTATCTCCTGAGTTTGCTGGGGATCAGCCTGGTGCGTAGGACGGATGAAACCAAAACCAACTGAAGCTCCCTGCGCTCTCGCCACTTCTCTTCATTTCACATGACAGTTTGTTTTCAGTTTGTGTGCACCCTCTTGTGGCGAGCCCGAGGCAGGCTCTGTCACGGGAGACTGATCTTCTAATAGTGGGTGAGTGGAGTGCGTTTTGAGTGCTCTTTGCCCTTGTCTTGAGAACAGCAGTAGGGGAAGGATTCTGGCAATGATAGATGATTTTTAAGTTATCTGTGTTAGTTTAATTAACGGCATTACACACAGCCTTGGGCTCTAAATAGACTAACTTATGGCGTAGCTAACCATATTTTTATATGAGCAGTGAGACAATGAAAGTCACCTGGCCTCACCTCTCTACAAGAAGGCCCCATTCTGTTCATCTGATGAGGATTCTCAGAAAAGTGGGAGAGGAAGACAAGGGAAGAAAACTTATATTCACCTTCTATTCCAATGCCTCTATTTTTAGCCAAGTTTCTTCTAAACTTGAAGAGGCAAATTTTCACAAAAAATTTTTTAGTGGAGTAACTGTAAAATATCATGAGACAAACATTGGAGATGATAGAGGGAAGGATGGTTGTTTTTGCATCAAGTTTGTTCTCTGACTTGCAGGCTGCAGGGTAGTGTTTAGATAATATGAATTTAAATAAAGTGACTTGGGATGTAAACATGAGCACTGGGCATTTATTTGTAACGGAGACCGGAGTTGAGGAAGCCTTTTTATTCTAGCCATTTTCTATCCTAACCACAAGTGTCCCATTCACACCTTTCTCCAGGGTCAGACTACCTATCAGAGAAACTAAAATTACTCTGAACCTGTGAACGGAAAGCTTGCTGCATGTTATCTAAGCTAGGATGAATGGAGCGGTTCCTAGTTCTAGGGTGAGCTACTACATCAATAGGTATCAGAGGTTTGTCAGTGCTATCCCCCTGTTCACCTGGTGCAGGCACTGGAAACAAGGATTGGGGAGCAGCTATCCTTAATCTGCAGTCACAAGATAGAGGAGGTTTTATCTTTACCATAATGCTTAGTTCAATATAGTATGTATTCAGCTTATTCTTTTCCTTTGCTCGTTCTTACAAATCGGTCATAGTTGATTTTCTTTCTTAGCTATACTTTCTACTAGAATTGTAAAAGAAAGACCTGCAATAAACTTTCTTCATTAAAAAAAAAAAAAAAAAAAAAGGTCATTCATTGTCTTATTCTTGCTGGAGAGACTAAACAGTTAGGTACCTACCAAAAAGATTTCATAAAATTAATCTGAGGGATGCCCATAACCTTTTAAAGTACATTGATTCCTATGAAAGATGTAGGTACTACATGACTGAACATGAGTTTTTTACCTTTTGAAGAGGCAATTAAAGATCACAAAGTGCCAACTGATAAGGTCGTAGTAGAGCTGAAAGATGTACAGCATCTTGGCAAAAAAAGGGTAGTAAAGGTATGAAAACATTATGCGTCTTAAACTATGATAAAAAGATTGGGTTACAAACCAGACATTGTGAACTAACTTTTTTATGGGTTCACTGGAGTAAGTTCAAGACCTTGGGAATGGCCTTTGTATAAAATTATCTACATTGATATTTTGGTACAGTGCAAAAATAGGAAGATAACACTCTAACCTTACTCAGACCAGAAAGTAGCGGCAGTCCATTAGCCACCTGTGTGTGCAGTTGGTAAATTCTGTAACAAGCCTTAGACTAAGCTAAAGAAAGGGTGTGTCATTTCAGGTGGAGTGGGCTAACCAGCCACCTACAGCAAGGAAAGGGAGCCCCCAAGAGAGAAGACAGTGACAGACACTGAATGGGGAGACTGGGAAAGAGGGAGCAGCAACAAAGTGATGAACTCTGGGTTGAGTTTTGTTTGGATGGATATTCAGCTGTGCAAGGCCTAGATATTTATTTTACAAAGAAAAAACTGTCAGGGATTAGCAGAGGTATCTAACAAGTTGTGTTCCACAAAACCACGTGCAGATATAAAAGAAAGGATGATAATCTGCCTGGTCAATAGCAGCCTCTTCTAAACTACTACTTTGTGTCCCGTAAGAAGACAGTAAAGACAAATATAGCCTGAATTCATGTCCCTAAGTTCATGTCTGATCAAGGTCTAAACATTCTTAGACAAGTATTTTGATTTGCGGAGCAGAGGCAGTTGACAGACTATGCCAAAACACGTATTTAAAAACAGGGATGACAGCGGGAAATGATCATCATGTGGCCAACATAATCAGATAAAAACATGGGATGGCTGGGCAAGTTCTTAACTCCATGTATGACCTTAGGAAAGTTATATCACCACTCCATGCCTTAATTTAGTTCCACAGATGTTAAATCTATGGGCACATAGGTGGTATGTTTGTGCTGCTCAGGGCATCACAGTTTAACATAACATAAAGACGTGTTGGTTACCACTAAAACAGTTAATGAAGGCTCATAAAAGTATTAGCTTTGGTTTGTTATCTACTGCACTTCCACTCAATCCTTCTGTCTTTGGGGAACAGTCATTTGCTGGAAAAAGGTAAAAATAGGAAAGGAATTGTAAAACAGAACTATGCTATCTGCTATAAAGGAAAAGAAATTACTATAGAAACTGTAAACTCAATCTATATGTGTGTCAAAGAGGACTGTCACCTTTTTGGGTTCATAAAAGTAGCTGAAATTCACATATCCTTTTGATAGATATTGATTAAATGCCAGGTTTTTTTTTCAAACACTCAACAGTGACAGCACAACTGCTACATGGCTGCATTTTAAAACAATGAATTACTAAAAAAAAAATCTTTTTAAAAACCCCTGCTCTTCTTATCCCCTTTGAATGTGAGTTCATATACCCGAACAGAGCTGAATCCTCCCCTGCAGTATATCAGCCTAACACTAAGTTCACTGAGAATCCCATCAAAGTTTACCCTTACAGACAATTGCCCCCATTCTTGAACTTAAAAAACTAATTACAATGATTGTCAAAATACATTAAGGTCGACGGTGTTATGATGATGTTACTTTCATCAATATTGGCTCATGCTTACACACAGTTGTTAAGAATATTTACATAGAACTGTAAAGCTTACTTTGGACTACTTTAGTAAACAAAGATCTCTTGGTTTTAGATGCAGACATAGTTCCCCCCATATAAACTGAATACTTTTGAGGAAGAGAAGCTAGGAGGAAGTAATGACTAAAACTAACAGATTTCAGGATAATTTTTCCTAAATTATATAATTTATATATTTAAAAAATAAAATAGAATTATTTATTTATGTAAGATACTAGAAAATATTTTTAACCTACTACTTACTCCTAATTTTCCCTTTCTTTCCTCTAGCATTTTTTTTAATTAAATAAAACAAACCAAAACAAAACACAGGCTTTTCTACTAGAGTAGAGTGCACCCTGTGCACTGGACTTGAGAACAAAAAGCATGAACCTTTTGGATTCAGCTGCAGAAGTTCAGTCTTTTAATTCAAGAAAGCAGGTCTTCCAAGACTTCTGTGGTTTAGGAATGTGGTGAGAAGACTACGACAGCAATGGTAACTTCCACAAGTAACATCCAATGCTGTTTTTTTTGCCCTACGCTTAGAGGTCTGAGCGTATACGAAAGAGGTTGCCAAAACACACGATACAAGTGATCAGGCCTCCTTCAGCGGGTGCCAGACACTTACCGCTTGGAGGGCCCCGCTGATGCAGGAGACACACCAGCACCCTGGCGTACAGAGGTCAGAAACAAAATCCTGTATATGATTTCCAACAGGGGTCACAGCTTTGCCCTTTGTAAGACTCGTTTTCCTAATCTACTTCAAATAAAAAAACGTTAGCTAGGAAGCAGTAACTTCTTACACCATTGCCTGAATACTCACCCAAAAGGGTTTCAAATTTCTATTCACAGAAATTATTTTGATCATCTCGGACTAAACCAATAAATTTATGCAGCAAGCAGGAAATTTTTTATTTTAAAAGTCTCATTTAAGCCTGTGTCTCATCTCTTTCTCCCCCCACAGTAGTCATTGGTATAATTATTACAGATGGATAGAGTAAATTTATTCACTTTTATTTAAATATACATATTTATTTTGGTTTTAACAGTTTTAAAATGGGAAATGATATTTTTGCATTTACTCAACTGGAAAGCAACAGAAATGCACAAAACCAGTAACCTATCAAAAAAGCTGCTTAACTAAAACTGATTTTTTTCAGATTAAAAAAATGGCAAGTAAATCAAACACTCCTATGGCAATCAGTTTCAATGTCTAATAAATACATACAAATAGGTGTCTAGTTGAGCTTTTCTGTCAGGGGAATCCTTTCTAGGGGACCATTTGTTTTTAAACAAAATTAGCATTGTAAAAAAAAAAAAATACCAGGGCAGGCACTGATGAAGCAAGCTGCCGTGCAACCATCCACCAAGAAGTTCTTCCTCAGCTGTTGCTTCTTGCTTTTGTTTCAAACAGCATTTGAATTTTAAGTGACTCGGTCGTATTTAGAAACAGAAAGCTCACAACAAGGATCGTCTAAGATGCAGGTTTCAGACAAGCACAGCTTCACCAAGAAGTACCAGCAACTCTTCCCTTCTCCCCAAAATAATATTGGCCAATTAATATGAAATACTGAATTTTAGCGTGTTTAAATGCTGAATACTTAAACACTTTGCTTACAAACACACTAGCTCTATTGTTTAGAACAGTCAAATTTTGGTTTTGCAGCTACCAAGCCTTGCTTGAAAAGGGATCCCTAGCACCCAGGATAAACAAGACAAAAAACAATCTGAATGACAAATGTCATATGCCTGTTATTGCTGTATCATTGCTGAATACACCCAAGTCTAAAAACACAACAAGACTTGGTTGTGCCACAGCATTTTGCAGCTCAGAGCTCACAATATACAGTGAACAAAGCAACAGTGGGAAGAAAAAAATTAGAACTTTAAGAAAATAGTAAATTATTATATCTCAAACTTTGTCCATTTAGCAAATAAGTATCACATTTGAAACCTCTTTTTGTCTATTGCCATGTGATACAGCATAATTTCCAAAGCGCTCATCTGAATGTCTTCAATCAGTTGACAATATGATGCAACCCCGAGTACAAAGTTGTATGTAATTTCAGATTTTACTAAATATACAAATATCTTTGGTTTCAACTATGCTTTCTAATATTATCTCAGTTCATTTACAAGAAAGTAGTTGTTATTTCTCATAATTTACAAAAATTTGTGAAATATTTTACAGACTCGCTATAATAATATGGTTTTTTATAATGTCTCAACTAAAAATAAACTATTTACAGATACAAGTTAAAATTTATTCTTTCAAACTTTGTTCCATGTGTTTTAATCCATTTTTTCCCTTGTGAGTCTGGCTGTATTTGAGTTGCAAGACTTCAGGTTAAATGTAGTTGAATTTCAGTAAATCTAAACAAAATCAG